GACCCCACAGCTTCTGCCCCCCCCCCAGCACACTGGGCACCCCAGGCCACCCATGGGACCCTGCAGCATCCACACTTGCAGCACAGTGGGCGCACTCTGCCACCTGCTATCACCCGTGGGACCACCCCCGGCACATTGGGCACCCTGTGGCAACCAGTGTCACCCATGGGACCCCACAGCATCCGAAACCCTGGCATGCTGGGCACCCTGTGCTGCCCATGGGACCCCTTGGCACGCTGGGCACCCCTAGGGCTGTCCCCTGGGTGGTGGTGGGTTCTAGGCACCCCAGTGCCACCCTGGGTGGGTGCTGAGGTCCATGTGCCTGCAGGGAGGTGCTGGGGCACCCTGAGGTGGGGGCCCTACTGCAGGCACAGGCGCTGGGGCCCCTCTTGCCCCCCGAGACTCAGCGCAGCCTCGAGAGCTCCTGCATCGCCGCTGTCAAGGTACGGGCACTGTGATGGGCAAAGGATGGGACCTGGGATGGGAGCATGATGGGCACCAGGGTGGCACTGGTGCTGGCACTGGGATGGGCATGTGATGGGCACCGTGGTGGCACTGGAATGGGCACCAGGACGGGCACCAGGGTGGCACTGGGAGTGGCACACAGTGGGCATTGTGGTGGCACTGGAATGGGCACCAGGGTGGCACTGGGAGTGGCACACAGTGGGCATTGTGGTGGCACTGGAATGGGCACCAGGGTGGCGCTGGTGCTGGCACTGGGATGGGCATGTGAAGGGCACCGTGGTGGCACTGGGACGGGCACAGAGTGGGCACTGTGGTGGCACTGGGATGGGCACCAGGATGGGCACCGTGGTGGCACTGGGACGGGCACAGGGGCTGTCCTGGAGCTGTGGGCTGGCAGGGGACCCTGCACCCCGCTGTCCCCACACCTGCTGTCCCCATGCCCGCTGTGCCCTGTGCCAGGCGAAGGTGGAGGTGGCAGTGGCGCAGGAGCTGCAGCTCAGTGAGGACACATGGGCAGAGGAGGCCTCCAGCGAGGAGCTGCAGGAGGGGCTGGCCACCCGCGTCACTGGGGTACGGGCACGGACACAGCGCCCACCGGGCACCTACACCTGAGGGACATCCCCCACTCTGTCCTTTGGGCCCATCCCCTGGGGACCCAGGGCTCTGCGGGGTGACCCACAGCCCTGTAGGCGTGCTGGGGTCACTGGGCACCCCATAGAGACACCAAAGTGCCCGGGTACCCCATACAGATGCCAAGGTGCCCCAAGGGGATGGTGGAGTTGTTGGTACCCCAGGGGATGCCACGGTGGTGGCCGTGTCCCTGGGGTACAGCGGGGTGGTGGCCGTGCCCCCACCCCCAGCAGTGCCTGTGCCCACAGCTGCTGCGGGCACACGTGGACCGAGCCCCCCAGATCACCCCCGAGTTTGGCATGGAGATGGCACACAGCCTCCTGGGCGTGCTGGTGGCCTTTTTGCACAGGTGGGCATGGGGACATGGGGGGACAAAGAGGGGACATGGGGATATGGGGGGACAAGGCATGGGCATGGGGATGTGGGGGCATGGGGAGACCGGGCGTGGATATGGGGACATGGGTACATCAGGACAGCAGATGAGCTCGGGAACACGGGGACATGAGGGGACAGGAGCTGAGCATGGGGATACAGGGATATGGTGGGGGGACAGGGGATGGGCACGGGGACGTGGGTGTCATGGGACAGGAGCCACAGGACAGAGCTGGGATGGCCATGGGGGGGGCAGAGGGGGCACAGGATGAGTGTGCACCTGGGTCCCAGGTCCCCTGGGTGCTGGGTCCCCAGGGTCCCAGCACGGGTGACCTGTCTGGGTGCCCTCAGTTTCCAGCGGAAGGTGGAACGGTTCCTAGAGGCCCCCGGCGAAGCCACCCCACCCGACGGTGCCACCGGCCGTGCCATCGCCCTGGTCAACTGCTGTCCTCCCTTCAGGTGAGGGCACCCCAAACACCCCCCCCCCCCTTCTCAGGTCCCTTGGGTGCTCGGGATGCTCAGGGTCCCCAGCAGCACCCACTGACATCCCTGCGGCAGGACCTTTGCCGAGCGCCTGGCGCAGTTCGGTCATCCGGAGAGCGAGGAGCCCCGACGGCAGGCCCACGCCGCCCTGGACAAGGTGACCCGGCTTTGCAACCATGTCCTCACCCAACGCCTCTTCGAGGATCTCAAGGTGCCCATGCGGCGCGGGACAGCCCGGGGAGGGGACGGCCAGCACGGTGCACCAGGGTGCTGGGCAGGGTGTCCATCAGTTGTGCACCGAGCTGGGTGATGCCCACGGGTGCAATGCTCTGAGTGGCCTCCCACCCCACGGGTGCCACCCGTGGGTGCTGGGACAGCTGCCCACCCCAGCTGCTCCCCCCCAGCCCTACTTCAACAAGCTGATGAAGCGCAAGTGGCTGACCAGCTCCGACGCTTTCGACACCATCGTGATGCTCATCACCAGCTTCACCCAGAAGCTGCGTCCGCTGCGCCCTGAGCCCTACCAGGTGGGTGCCAGGTTTGGGGCCGCCGGGATCCAACGCCATCACCGGCGGCTTCTGCTGACCCTTGTGCCGCAGGTGCTGGTGAGCGAGGTGCACAGGCGGGTGCTCATCGAGTACGTGCGGCCGCTGCTGCAGGTGCGCTTGGTCTGCACCTCGGCCAAGATGCGCGCCCGGGTGGCCGCCCGCCTTGGGGATGAAGCTCGCCAGCTCCGCGAGCTCTTCAGCCGCTTGGTGAGACTCCATCCGTCCCCTCCCCGGCACCCTTGGGTGCTTCTCAAGTGGGGGTGACGGCGCTGAGGTCCTCTGCGCCGGCAGGATTCGGCCTCGCCCTGGCTGGATTCGGTGGTGCCGAGGTTGAGGGAGCTGCTGGTGCTGGAGGACACGGCGGCGCTGCAGATGGAGGTGGGCGTCCTGGTGAGGGACTTCCCCGATGTCCGGTGAGTGCTGGCACCCGGCGGTGGTCCCAGGGGAGTGGCAGTGGGGTGGCATGGCCAGGTGGGACACCGTGGCCCCGTGGGGACAAGAGTGGGGTGGCATGCATCCCCGTAGGGACAGGAATGGGGTGGCACATGTCCCTGTGGCCACCACAGCAGGGTGGCATGGCCAGGCGAGATGCCACCTCCCTGTAGGGACAGGGGCAGGACATGGTGTCCCCATGGGGACCAAAGCGGGGTGACAGGACGCTGCGTCCGTCCTTCCCGGCAGCACCCGCCCCGCTGCCGGTCCCTCCTGGCTGCCCGCCGGGAAGCGGCCGTGGCCTCACGCCAAGTCCCCTCCCCATCCCCGAGTCCCCTGGGGAGCCGGTGGCACGCGCGGGCCCGGCAGGATGCCGCCACTTCGGGGGCTTTAAATAGAACCAGCGCTGGCTGCAACTGGTACCAGTTAAACCTGGGACCAGGCTTCGCCCCGGAGCCGGGTCTAACGCCGCACGCCGAAAGTGGGTGCAATGCTGCACCCCAAATCTGGGCGCGTCATGGTGCTCCAAAGCTGGATGTACTGCTGCACCCCAAATCTGGGTGCGTGCCTCTCCCTAGACATGGGTGCATCGCTGCACCCCAAATCTGGGTGCGTGCCTCTCCCTAGACATGGGTGCATCGCTGCACCCCAAATCTGGGTGCGTGCCTCTCCCTAGACATGGGTGCATCGCTGCACCCCAAATCTGGGTGCATGCCTCTCCCAGGGGACCGGGGTGCCCAGCAGCGGGTGTCCCCGTCCCCTGAGCATCCCCATCCCGCAGACGGAAGCACGTGGCGGCGGTGCTGGACGTGCGGGGGCTGCGGAGCCAGGCGGCGCGGCAGGAGATCCTGGGGGTGGTACAGGACCTGGAGCAGAACGAGACCGAGCCGGGGCTGCCGCGCCAACGCGCCTTCTTCTCCGAGCTGACCGTGGCCCGCGAGGTGCGATGTCTGCCCTTCCACCTGCCGCGCCTGGCACGTCTCTCCCGCCTGCGCCTGCGTCGCCCGCACCCCCAGCGCCCCGGCCAGGCACGGCTCTGAGCGCCCACGACCACGGGTGGGTGCGGCGAGGCACCCCCAGGGCTGGGTGCTCACCTCCTGCATCACCCCAGCCATGCTCGGAGCCCCTCCGCAGAGCTGGGGTGGGGTAGGGGGGCTGTGCTGCCCCAGCTCGGAGCCCGCCCCGGCGCTGTGTATAAATGGTGTGTCAATGCTGTAAATTAACGCCAGAGCCAGTCCTCGTCCTTCGTTCTTGCTCCGGGTCCTCGTGCATGGGGACAGGGGCCATGGGGCCACCATGTGCACAGGGGATGGGGGACATGGGACTGTCCTCACAGACAGGGGATGGGGGACACGGGACCATCCCCAAGCACAGGGGATGGGGGACACGGG